GTAGGGCACCTTCCCGGAACAAAATCCTCAAGGGGGTTCCGCTGTAGCTCCGTCACCGGTGGGCCGTGAAGAGGAGGCGGTCTCCCTTTGCGGTACGATTTTAGAAGTTTTTGCCATTATAAGGTTGAAGAAAAGGAATTAAGGTGATTTGCTTGAGATTCAAGAAATTTGGGAGCAAGAGTTGCAAAGCAAAGAGATTTTTTGTAGAGAAGCAGTAATGAAGGAAATTTTGAGCGTAAAAGTTTAAGAGGAAGAAGGTGGCGGTACTTATAACTTGCTGGTGGCGGTTCAGATCCGATGGTGGCTGACCAGCAACTGACAGGCTTTTAATGCCTTGGTAACCAAATCGACGGGACATTTCAATACCTACTGTCGCTGACATCATAATCGGGTTTGTCTCTTACGTCACGACACATCGAGACAGGATTGGAAAAATTCATGTCGTTTCTCGTTGTCTTCTCTCCGAGAAACGAGGGGACTATTTGTATATGGTCAAATTTGGGATTGCCCTTAGTGACTGATCGAGACTGGAGCGCGATAAGCCAAGAATCAGCCTCATATTATATCGAACTATGGTGCAAAGTTAGGTTGCCGAGCTCGAGGCCCTGAGACCGATTAAGGTTGAGATCGACCAAAATCGAGATCGTCCAAGATCGAGACCAAATAAGATGGAGATCGAGGGAAGCTTACTGAGTCGAATAACAGAAAGATGAAATATCTGCAATCGGGTGAAGATCACGGCGCGAATCCCGACACATATCAAGAAGAGGCCGATTAATTAGCCAATCATGGGGTTTCCTACTGTATTTTGAATTGTATCAAGAATAGGATCCCCTACTATATAAAGTGGGTCTGATAATTTGTAAACATCATCTATTCACGCAATACAAAGCAATATACTGCCTTTCTCTAGTTACCACTGTCTTTTTATTATGTTCTTAATTCAATTGATACATATTTGGTTCAAGGGCGACCGAACTCGAGGGCCAAGACTGTTCAATTTGTGTGGTTTGAATTTATTCTTTAATTGTCTATTTCAATACTATTTTATTCTTCTTAATCTGTGCCAAGTTATATCACATATCCTTAAAACCACGTATACTGTTATCCGATTTTAGGGTAAACACTACATGATCACAAAAGGGACTATGCATAATAGAGATTCATTTTCTCACAAATTTTCAAATAGCATATACTAATGCTCTATAATGCTTTATCATGAGTCTAAGTGTCAATTCATGATAAAGTCTCAATATGTACATCAAACCAGACTCTCTCTAAGTGCCCAACAATCTGCTAACAATTCCTACGCATACGAAGATGCGTGAATGTACATATGTCAACGATATATATGAATATTTCTACACGAGTCTAGGATGTCAATACATGCTCAAGACTATATCCTTTCCACAGAATCAACACCAATATTGACACACACACACACACACTGCGCTTATAGGGCCCAAATTACAATAGGTGATCACCTGACTCCGAAGAGACGGATTCATATCCTAGTGTTGCTTGGACAACTCACGTGCTACACGAACAAATCACGTGCCAATAATAATATCACTGGCACAGACAACTCACGTGCCTTAATAATACCAATCTACACGAATAGCTCACGTGTCGTACTCAATATTAATATCACAATAATCGTACAACAGAAACATTGTGCCATAATCATCTCAATTGTACGGATTATTGACGTACCATAGTCTCGGTCCATATAAGTGGACCATATGCAGGGATGCATACAAGTATATAATAAATGATCTCTAGGCATGATGTATGCCTATGTGTAATGTATACTACGATCCCAACATTTAATCCATCATCCAGTTAATCATCATGTCAAAATAAGGATTAAAAGTCTAAACATGATATCTAACACAAATAAGAAAGCTCAAATAGTTATACAATAGTTTAAGGCATATCACAACAATAACATGTGTGTTTGTGTGTTCATAATATAACATGTGACTGTGGCCAAATCAAGTACATCAACAAGCTCAAAAATAGTCCATTAATGTAATAACTTGGCCGGTCGTTTTGGGTATAAGCTCTGTTCCCCTATTTGATAATTTTTGTATGTATGTTTGTTGTCTCGTGACTTGCGGGGATGGTTGGTTTGGTCTCCGCAAGGGTTGAAAGTGATTTGAGACACTTAATCTCATTTTGAAAGTTTAAGTTGTTTGAGTTGACCAAGATTTGAATTTTGTGTAAATGACCTCGGATTGGTGATTTGATGGTTCCAATAGGTTCGTATGGCTATTTTGGACTTAGGTGTATATTCGAATTTGGATTCAGAGGTTCCTAGAAGGTTTTGGCTCTATTTATCGAAAGTGGACAATTTGAAGGTTTGGAGAGTTTATAAGTTTGATCGTTAGTTGACTTTGATGATATCAGACTGATTATTATTCTAAAATTGGAAATAGGTTAATTTTGTTTTTTGAAACTTATGTGCAAAGTTTGTTTGTGATTCGGATTGTTTATGCTTGAATCGGATGCTTGGTTGGAAGCTTGAGAGTTCTTATACTTTAAGAGATGTGCAACTTGTGTTTTGATCTTCGATTCGTGTAAAGTTATCGTATATGTTTATAAGCTTTGGATAGGTTCGGTTAGTATTTATGGACTTGTTGGTATGAGTGAATGGGGTCTCGAGTAGCTCGGATGAGGTTTGAACCACCCTGAGCATTTTGGTGTAGCAGATTTTTGCTGGTGTCAGGCCCTTCATCGCAAGCGTGGAGTGCAATTTGGGCTGGAGCAGTTTCTCTTTGTTTTCATGGAAGGAGTCCCGCATTCACAAAGAAGGATGATGGAAGCTAGAGGAAACCTTCGCATTGGCGTAAGGCATGTAGCGTTCACGGAGTGGCTGGTCATGTAATTCTTTGCGTTCGCATGTGTAATGCCGTGTTCGTGAAGGAGGTTGTAAGGAAGGCTTCACGTGACAACATCTTGGTCCATATCAGGGAACCATATGCAAGGAGGTATGCATATGAATAAGAGATAAACTCTATGCACGATATATGAATATGTGTAACATGTGACTGCATCACCAACATTGTAATACATCCTCCAAATAATTATTATGTCAAATTAAGCATCAAAAACATAAACATAATCTCTAACATAAATAAGGAAGCTCAAGTAGTCATATAACAGTTTAAGACATATCACAAGAATAACAAGTGCAGATGTATATTCACAATATAACGTGTGACTTCAGCCAATTTAGTATACCAACAAGTCCCAAGAATAATCTATCGGGCTCAAATAAGATGTCATAAGCTAACATGGCCTCTAGCATGAATAAGTGTGCAATGTAGGCATGAGAATAAAATAGAGCATAATTCAAGAAGAACACACATTATATCAAGGCATAAAGAAGCCTAGAATCTACCCCAAATATGGTAGAACCTCGGTATTCGCATATACGTTCGTCACCTCACATATACATTACCCTCGAAACACATAGCGCGTAGAAAATAATTTTGCTTTTCGAAAAATATTCCCTCAAGTCGAGGTTAAGCAAGATACTTGCTTTAACAAGCCATATTAACCCTCTAAAACCGTCTTTTTTTTGGAAATCACCTCCAACCTGCTCAAGTCAAACCAAATAATACTCAATAAGGTCAAATAAAATTATAGGAATCTATTCTATATAATAAAGCTTCAGTCTTTAATTATTTCTCAAAAGTCTATAAAAGTTAACAAATAAAATTGCTCTGCTCTATCACCATTCAATTAAACGACCATAACTTCATGCTCACATGTCGGAATAATGAACTACTTAAACCACAAGAAACTAGACTCAAATGAATACAATCCTATTAAACCCTCATCCCAAAATTCTTTTATATATTGGGAGAAAGGATCTTTGAAGTCAGTTCATCTGCAGAACAACCTTGTTTCAGCAACTCAATTCTTTCGGAACTTGCTCCAAATGTACCGAAACTCACTTGAGCCCCTCAAGACCCTATCCAACCATTCCTACAATTTAAAATACCTATATGGACTTGTCTAAAGACTCAAACTACCCACGGGAACATCATAACAATGAACTAAGGCTCAAATCGAATAGAGCTTCTCTTAAGTTCTTAAATCTTCATTCTTTCGAAAGACTTTCTGAATCACACTTAGACAATTCGGATTATTTTCAAACTTTGCACAAGTTCAATTCAACTATATAGACCTAATAGCATCAAAGTCATCTTTTGGTCAAACTTATGAATTCTTAAGTTCTTCAAATTGAAAACTTTCGACACACAGCGTCGAATTCTTTTAGGAACCTCCAAAACCAAATTCGAATATACGTACAAGTCCAAAATCATTTTACAAATCTACTAGAACCATCACAACCCGATTCCGAGTTTGTTTACCCAAAAGTCAAACCTTGGCCAACTCTTCCAACTTAAACCTTCCATGTAGGAACTAAGTGTTCCAAGCACTTTGAGACCAAAATTACTCCCACCTGCGAGTCATAAAACATCAAATGGACAAACGAGAAGGCTCAAAGCACGGAACGAGATGCTAGAACTCAAAACGACCAATTGGGTTGATACATTAACAATAGTGAATGCGTCACTATTTAGCAATTGTTAGGTTCTGACTAGCAAGTATGGTTGATGGCTATGTTGATTTTCCATGGTTTGAATAGTAACATTCATGAGTTATAGACTTGCGTTAGGTAGTGCACAATTTGGTTTTTGTCTATCCAATTTGTAATTAATTAAGGATGACCAATCCATGTTTTTATATATAATTTTTGTTAATGTATAAGAGGTTCTTTTTGTTTTTATGCAATTTAATCTCCAATGAGTAATCGTGTTTTAGAAGGTTCATGTAATATATATTATCCCATCTTAGTTCCAATGACAGAATTACTAGAATGCTTTTATTGATTGATGCTAACTTCTTTAATTTTGATTTCTCATTTATGTTTTGTTTGTTAAGTGAAATGAAATTAAAAATAGAATCTCTGTTTGTTGCCCGCTGCAGAGAGTAAAATTTGCGATTTATCAAAGAATATCAGAAGTTAAGTGGGGTACAAAACAAAGGAAATGATGTCTTGTGAGTTGTGAATTTCAACATCAGCTGCTTTGCCAGTTTCCAATATTCAAGGAAGCATTCCCTCTCTAGTCTAGGAAACAAGCAGCAAAATGACTAGAAATCCCTGGAGAAAAGCAAGTATGATATACACAAAATTCTTGTGCAACAGCATTACTCTACGACCATCAGCAATCATCAAGGGAAAGTGGCACTTATCATCAGATGGATCGTTATGAGTTAACGTAGCCAAGCCATGGAAGTCACAGTCCCCACTGTTCTGACTTTTGAATTGATAATACATATTAAAAGCATAGGAAGCATTCCCTTGTGCAGTGAGATGATTGCAGGAAGAACCATAGCCCAAAGCAGTGCAATCTGAAAGACTGCACGCGTAATCTATACTCTTTGCCAACAAGTCTTGTGCATCTTTTAGGTGGTGATGAGGCTTTAGTATACACCACCTTTTATGCATATAATTCACACCTTCTACTGCAGCTAGTCTTTTAATATCGTCGAGCTCGTATTTTGGCTTTCCATCAAACTCAAAAATTCCCCAATGCCTCTCAAAGCTACCAGGGGCAATGCTTTTCGTATTCTCATCAATCAGGCTGAACAAGTAAACGTCTATTTTCCCCTTTCTCACAGGGGTTCCTTCTCCACTTAGAGCATGCTGAATCAGCCCTTGGTTAAATCTCTTGGCATTTTCAATATTTGCATATTTATCGCCGTCTGTTGGCCATCCTACTTCTCCAACTATGATTTTCATGTCAGGAAAGCCAGCTTTTTTCAAAGACCAGGCAAGAGTATCAAAATTGGCATCAAACACATTAGTATAAAGATGATCACCATCCTTAATATATATATTTGATCCATTAAAGAAGGCATATTCTAATGGAAAGTAATCGTTATCGTCGAGACTAAGGAAAGGATAGATGTTAACGACAAAGGGTGCATCATTTGAGTAGAGATATTGGACAATTTGAATGGCTAAATCGCGTACTTGTGGCCTGAAATCACCAGCTGAAGGGACAGGATTCGAGTCAGGGGAGTAGTAAATGTCAGCATTTAGGGGGACGGTTGCTTTAACCTCAGGACCTAGTCCAGCATGGTTGATGGCTTCTTGAACATTTCTGAGAGCTGGTAAGGTGTAGTGGAGATAAGTGCCGTTGTATGTTTGAAGGAAGGGCTCATTCCCTACAGCGACATACCTGATTTTGACACCGCGAGTGTAAGAATAAGTAGAGACATTGGCATCAATCCAAGCAGCAGCAACACCAGGGTCAGTGCTCATCTGTTGCAACATGTAGTTAGGAATTGCAAGCATGACTTCAATATCACTACCAATCAAAGCACTCATAATCTTGTCATCTGGCTCAAACAGTTTTACTTTATCAAAACCGTTTTCTTTAATCATCTTCACCACACTCTCTGCTGCCAATTGATGTGATGCCATAGTACCCCAGTTCACTCCCACGCTCAAACATTTCCACACCATCGTCATAAACACTACAATTCCCACGCTCAACAAACTCATCGTTTTATGGATATATCTCTCCTTAATTCTTTTTGAAGAAACCTCACATAAGCAAGATGAAGAAAAAGAAATCGATAAGAGAATATAAAGAAATCAATTTAAATTAATAACGAGCAGGGAAAAGCCACTATATATGCACTTCCTAAAGCTACCCATTGAAAATATCTTTTAGTATTTTTGTTTTCTTTCTTTTCGGGAGAGGTAAAGGGAAGAATTTCATGAGAATCCAACTTTCCATCGATGAAGATATCGGTACGTAGTAGCTCGGTTAACTATAAAAGTTGTTACTCTTTGCTTATCTACTTTGTTTATTTTTCTCTTTATTATTATTTCTCCTTCCTTTACTTTCTTTTTTCTCCTTCCTTTTGACTCTTCTTGTCTACTCCAACCACTCACAGTTGGGATCCACGTAAACATTTACTATTTGAAACCTAATCTTCCAAGTTACAAAGAAGAAACCGGACGAGGAGATTAGAAATACTTATTTTTTTCTTTTAAAAAATAAAATAAAATATTTGGTCAGCAAATGACCTAAATAATTTGTTCATCACTTGCAAATTTCAATATTAGGGTGCTTTTAATAGGAGACTTTTTCGTTTATGTACTAAATTATAAAGTTATTTACCGTAAATATCTAAAGTTTGGTACTATTTATTAAAATTGACTGGATTTTTTTTTCACAAATTATATACATACATGCATGATTATTTTCTCTCTATCTCTTCCATCTTTCTTTCTCTCTTCTCTTTCCCTATTTTCCGTCGCCTCCCTCCTAATTCATATCGTCAATGGAAAACAACCAATTACATCTCTGAAACAAATCCCAGTACAAATAAATGACTATAGTCATCTTCAAATCAGATTCAATTACCTCCAAACTTCGGATTCAACTTTGTATTAGTATTTCCAACAAGATTCTATGCTACCCAGTTAATTTCTCACACAAAATTCAAATCTAGAACCCAGTTTCTCCGAAGTGCAATCCTGCTTTTAATGTGAAACTCGAAATTTATTCACCCAAATCATTCAGTTCCCATCAATATTTTATTTTCAGTTAAAACAAACATGAATCAATGCAAATGAGCCGATTTTGAATTCATTCTCTACTTTTCTTTCTTTAATAAATTGAGTAAGAAAAGAATAATGTATGGTACAACAACATACTCACAATTTAAAAATAAATTTCGTACAAATTTGTTTCATACAACTAATTATACAGTATACAGCTTATCTACAACTTTCGTACAACATTCTTACCACGTTAAATACAACTACAACATCATACAACTTAAATGCAATTATCATACAAAATTTGTATAATATATCTTTTCTATGTATTCTGTATATAATATGTATATATTTTGTATGTGGTGTGTTCTTATTCCTCTCTGAAATTCCAATCAGAATTTTGTCTCTTAATGCAATTTTGATACATATTAATAACTTTATGTGAAAAGAGAGTATTTAAAACTTAAATAAAAAATTTCATAAAATGATGCATATAGTATACAACTAATTTTCAACTTTCATACGACATTCAAATAAAAAAATATATAACTACAACAAAATACAACTTAAATATAATTTATATACAACTATAATACAAATTGTATGTATATTGTATGTCATGTGTTCTTCTTCTTCTTCAAGTTTTAATATGATACTTCAGCCAAATTTAAATCTAATCTTCACCAAACACCCTCAAAATTGAGGTATAAATTTCAAAAAATATTATCAATCGTTTGCAACAGCACCCTTCAAACAAATAATATTTCATTCGAATTAAAAGTTTCGAAGCTTTTTAATGGTTGTCAATGATGGAGAGTCAAACGTCTTCAAAATCTATTGATTGATAATTTCAGTTCGATCACCAACTGTGCAACATGAAAGAAAATTGTTAAGTTAAGACTACATAGTCAACGATTGACATCCATCGATGAATTTCTTGAAGAAAAAAGAATAAAGGAGATGAGAAAAGAGAAAGAAACAGAGATTATCGAAGGAAGAAAACTGAAGAAATGATAGAGATGGAGATAGAGAGAGAATGAGAGAGAGCAACGAGGAGAGAATGAAAAATTGGATACGCTACTTGATCCCTATTAAATTCCTAATATCAAGGAATATTCATTTTTACTTATTCGTATATAATTGGTAAATTGTATATTAATTTTTAAGTAAATTAAAACTTTATTGTGAAAATAATAAGTTTAAAAGTAGTATAGCTAAGTAAAATCTCTTTTGGTTGTTTGGAATTTAGCATGCTTGAGTCATAAGAAAGTGTTAACAAAAAGGACTAGGATCTTTCAGGTAACCGAAGAACTAAAAGTCGACTTTAGTAGTCCTTTCGTCACTTCCATTTTCTTCTGTAATTTCTCACTATATCAGTTTCTTTCCTTTTCTTTTTATTTTCCGGCACCAACTCCCTTTTTTCCTTTACTATAGAATAATAATTTAAATCTCATGACAAATGTGACTCGGTGGGGCAAATAAAATAAAGTAAAAGAAAAGATCTGGGCCCAGAAAAGTTGAAGAGCTTGTCACTTTCTGGTTAGTAGATGGGTGATCGACTCTTTTATGCAAGGATAGTGAAAAGAATCCTCGACAGTGCCCCACTTTCCAACCAAAATCGACGTGTTTTAAAGGCTCGTGCAATCCTTCTTATTGTTGTTTACACTTCTTTTTTCATCAAAGTTTTAAGCTTTTTGTAGCTTTTGATTTTCAGGAAAAAGTGGCTCGACACTCTGGTGCCATTCCTATTCAAGAAGATATACATCCTCCAAAAGATAATTCCATCAACTTCCACAAGTATACATCAAGGAGAAGGGGCTTAGGGGATATGTTTGCCGATAAGTGAACGTCATAAACGTGGCAATGGGGACCTGCATTCGCACAGCCCCTATTGCAGGGTAAAAAAAAAGATGGAATTCATATGAAAAGAATGTCACTTTAAAAAGTATTTCATTTACTCCTGGAGTAAAATATGCATCAACTCAATCAATACAGAGGAAAAACTAAAACGTCAAGCATTTCGCAAATAAATGCTATAATAGTATTTCCTGTTTCCTGCTCCGCTTTATGTTGTGTGAGAGGAAGCGGATAAGACAAAATGGTAGACGGCACAACATCGGATGTCGGTAGATGCTTGTTGTCAAAGTTTTATCTCATTTCTCTTTCTGCTGGACAGGATTCTTTTGGCTAGCGCACTCCAATACACGCATCAAGACAGTATAGAGTAATTAGTGCCATTTCTTCCGACCTTGAAATCCAGCTACAAAGTGCATTCTGTTTTTTTACGATTCTTTCCCTGAGAGAGTATCATGGTTTACCCTTAATCATCAATGCACGTTTCTTCGGGTAATCTGAAGCTTAAACAAAACATAGCCTGCAAAACAAAAGGAAAACAACAGCTTCAGGGGCATAAAGATAGAATAATACCCGTGAATCAAAACAATATGAATGCTGTGCTCCAAAGAAGTTGAGTCTATTGAGCTTGTACCTTATTTGGAGCAACATCTCTAACCCTGTGAAATACAGAGCTTTGTATTCTGGCTCCCAGGGCAGACTCTGCAACCTGCAAATCAACAAATTGAGATCACCAGAGACATACAAGCAAATGTAGACTAGCTGAACTAAAGGCTAAAGGATGAAAATAAGTACATTGTAAAGGTAGATCTCCGTAGCACTATAAGGAGAAAACAGACTAGTAAGTATTAACTGAGAGCAGTTTAACCAGCTTGACCTGTGATATACTATCCAGATATCGAATACTATGCAAGCTACAACATGATTCATAGATTTAGTCAATCTAGTTATTCAAGGACTTGGTAAACATGAAACAAAGTGTGTTAATCAACTACCATTTTGTATTAAGTGCATCTGTAATTTATTAACCCATTGAGATTCCCCAAGAACTTTCCTGTTTCAGTTTTGCTACTAAAGATGCAAATCGTTTCATGTCATGCACGTGTTCCATTTTATTATGATCCAAGTACATTTCAAATAATCTTGTGCGCAGCAATTATTGAGGAAATGTATAAAGCTTTACTGCAAACCTGCACGTTAGCCCATACACTATTACCAATCTTTGGTATAGTAGTCTCGCAGTGGATTATTCTTATCAAATTCACACTTAAGAAATCTCGAGGGCCTTACCCTGTAACAACTTACTTAAATTAAGTAAAAGAAAACCAAATGTTGATTGTTAAACCAAATACAAAGTATTCACATCACAGCTAATTGATATGCTTATCCTCATTTGTTTTTTTTAAGATTAAGACGTCTGAATCTGAATACACATCTGAATATATTAAGATGTGTATTAAGATTAAGACATCTGAATCTGAATACACATCTGAATATATTAAGATGTGTATTAAGATCTGAATAGAAATAATTAAAACTGTTTGATTTTTAACATCTGAATGTATAAAATTTATCTTTATTTGAAAATTAATAAACATAAAATTCATCTGAAATACTAACTAATCTGATATTCTATCAATAAAATATATAGTTTTTAAAAATATGATAGTTGCTGGTGGTGATGGCTAACGGGTGAATGCCGACTAGAGGCGGTGGTTGGTGGTATTTTTGGTTGATGATGGTGGTTCATGCTAGTAGCTAGTAGTGATTGGTAGTGGTGGCGATAATGATTGAGAATGGTGGTGGTGAGTGGTGATAGTTAATAATGGCTGGTGGTGATAGTAATTAGGGGTGTCAATGATTCGGTTCGGCCGGTTATTTTATAAAATTTGTACCATACCAATTTTTCGGTTATTCTATTATATATAACCACAATTAGACTTTTCGAAACCGTCCCAATCATGTCGGTTTCTCTTCGGTATCGGTATGGTCCGGTTAATTTTCGGTATTTATTTTAAATGTCATGTAAAATTCATCAATAGAAGTAGAATGCAATAACATACATTATTTTACGGACTTAGAAAACTCTCTAGATATTTTTAATGTTTAAAGGGTGATGAAATTAAAAAAAAAAATGAAAGATAGAGTATAGATCAGTATTGTCAAATGCACGCTTAAGCCCTGAAGCGAGGCTCAAAACATGTTGAGCGCTTTGCCTCGCTTTGTGGGCGCTTTAGTATCGCATCAAGGCTTTAAGGCATACTATTCCTTGCCAATGAGTGTAATCATGAAAAAGCGACATTAAACAATTGATATTTCACTTTATCGTAAATTTTTTTCAATTTTTTTGTCCATATATTT